AGATCCAAAATGAATCAAATTTAATAATCTAGAATAAATCTCTAACTGAGATTAAACTATAAAATAATCTAAATAGACTCAAGGTTGCCCCCACCATTAACACAATCAAATATGAACTAAAATAATTAAGTTTGGTCTAATCAAATAAGACCCCAAAAATGTAACCCCTCGAAATAACTACAATAAATCATCCACGACGATAAGTAAACAACAATATGAATCAAAGTATAATGTCCTTCCATTACATAAGACTCAATTGTACAAAAGGGTGACACATGCGAATATACATTCATAAGTCCTAACCCTAAATATATAGCATGTGTCAACAACAAAGATATGAAATAGAAGTTAAACAGATAATAGAAATACCCTAAAGGCTACAACTTTCCAAGACTGTACTTGGTTACATCAAAATGGATTTAAATCCAATACAGGTAAAGCCCTAGGCTTGTACAAAATAATTACAACAAGCAAGCAAAATGAAGCTCTTGCTCTTATCCTCCCAAGCAACTGCCTTGGTGGAGGCATCTCACCAATACCTGAAAATGGTTTTCCCATATAAGGTGAGCTAAAGCCCAGTAAAAATAATCCAACACAATATATGAATCTTAACAAAGATATAAGGGTGAAATGCATATGGAATCGGCATCCATTTATACGTGTGTTTTTCAGGACTTCCACCCTGGACACATAGGCCAACATAATTTGGTGATACACACTTCTTTCCCACTTTCATCAATTTTTCTCAAAATTATATACATTTGCAATGTATTAAACGAGCAACAATATTCAATGCACATGCATGGTAAATTAGTTTCAATTCATCTAATCCTCATGCAATTTCTACAACAATCAAAACTATCCTCCACCGATAGCCCAAAATAGATATAAAATCTCCAATACAGATAAACTTTCTAAAATTCAAGATGTGAGCGATAAATTAGAAACCGTCAAACGGCATCCATGTATACGTAGCCTATACAAGCGACTCTATTGCCATTTTATGGATATTTCGTTCGTGGGAATCGACATCCATTTATATGTGTGTTTTTCAGGACTTCCACCCTGGACACATAGGCCAACTTAATTTGGTGATACACACCTCTTTCCCACTTTCATCAAATTTTCTCAAAATTATATACATTTGCAATGTATTAAACGAGCAACAATATTTAATGCACATGCATGATACATTAGTTTCAATTCACCTAATCCTCATGCAATTTCTACAACAATCAAAACTATCCTCCACCGATAGCCCAAAATAGATATAAAATCTCCAATACAGATAAACTTTCTAAAATTCAAGATGTGAGCGATAATACATATCCAACTCCACCATCCATAGCAATATCCATCTAATTTCACATTTCCAACCTCAATTCCATTTATTTATACAAAATAAATATTTGAGACATTTAAGGAAAAATCCTTTTTCTTCCAAAATTCATTCCAAATATCAAAATCAATAATTTCATCACAACTCAACCTTATTTCCACTCCCACAACCATTTTCAATACATCCATTGGAAACTCTCTTTTTATTTCAAATGAAAACCCTAGGTTTGCTCAAAATCCCCAAAAATCACAAAATTGTTTTATAAAAATAAATAGCTAAGTTAAAAATCATAAAAGAGTGTAGAGTATCCTTATCTCGAAGCTAGAAGACCAAGAAGGGAAAGGAGAAACCTCAAAGAAGCCGAAATCCAACTATACTCGGATGAAAATGGAGCTCTAAGTGAGCTCTACCTTTTTCTTAAAGGAAGTAGGGTAGATAAATCAATGAATGCAAGTGTTTTAGAAGAGAGAAAGTGAGTTTTAGAAAGAGAGGGTCTTAACTTAGGGTTTGTAGAAAGTTTAGAGAGAGATATGAAAAAGTGATGTAAAAAGTGATTTTTACAGACTGATATACACGTAGTCCACTCGAGCATAGGATGTGATGCTTGAGTGTAGAATACACCCTCCTAGTAGTTTTAAACACAGAAGGGCAACGCACGAGCGCAAAAAGGGCCGCTTGAGCACATCACCACTCGAGCGCAAGAAGCTTCGCTTGAGTGAATAATAACAAGTCCCAATAGTTTTGCAGACCTGCAAAAGTACTGAGAGTTCATAAAGCCTGCTCGAGCACAAGAAGTGGCGCTCGAGCGTAGAAGCAAAATTTTGGACAACAAGGTTTTTGAAAAACAAGGTACCAACCTGTTCCAAACACAACCAACACATCTCAATAGCCAAATTCAAGGAGGGAAAAGTAGAATAAGACTAGAACAACTGTACAAAACCATGAAACCCGAATCCAGAATATCAAATGGGTCGGGTCTTAAACCAGAATTGCTATAAAAAATTTAATTTATATATAGGTTCAATACCAAAAATCAAGAGTAATTAAGACTCAGAAATTTCCAAGCAGGTCTCACAAAGTCAAAATTGAAGGGTAATATAATATGTTTTTCACAAATTTAAATTGAATGGTCCACCACACAACAACTACAGTAGTAATGACAATGCAATAAAAAAAAAAAATTTAAAATCCATACTAATCCAATACTAACCAACATCCAAACTCGCAAACATATTAAGAAGGTTACTAAATAGGTACCAAGAAAATAAATAATTAAATAAATCAAATTTGATTCAACTCGTGACAGTGGAAAACAATGTGAAGAGGTCACAACAAAAAGGTGTTTAGTTAATAATTAAGCAATTGATTGAGATAATGAATTGTTTTCTTTTAATATTGCATGCTAATGATATATATATAATGGGTTTATTTTGAGGGCGTTACAATTTGCTTGCCTATTGCTTTTCATTTCCACTCTTGCATCATCAGAGCATGCATTTGGAAACTGTTGCAATTATCAATTGTTGTTTATCCACAATTTTGTAACAGTCACTAACTACAAGTGTTGTAAATTACTTTACATGTTGCTTTCCCCGTCTTGGAGGAATTGCCTATGTCACGCCTCGAAACAATTATAACAAACCATCCACGATGATAAGTAAATAACAATCTAAATCAGAGTATAATAGCTTTCCATTACATAAGACTCAGTTGTACAAAAGGGTGACACATGCGGATATACATTCATAAGTCCTAACTTTGAATCTATAACATGTGTCAACAACAAAGATATGAAAATAGAAGTTAAACATATAATTGAAATGCCCTGAAGGCTACAACTTTTCAAGACTATACTTGGTTACATCAAAATGTATTTAAATCTAACATAGGTAAAGCTCTAGGCTAGTACAAAATAATAACAAGAAGTAAACAAAATGAAGCTCTTGTTCCAATCCTCCCAAGCTACTTCCTTGGCGGAGACATCTCACCAACACCTAAAAATGGTTTTCCCATAGAGGGTGAGTCAAAGAGTAGTAGAAATAATCCAACACAATATATGAATCTTAACAAAGATATAAGGGTGAAATGCATATGCAATGCCCATGTCAAAACGTTTTACATTTCTTTCCCAAAGACCATGCCAGGCTTAATTTATATCACAATTCTCAAATCATGTCCTTTACCATATAAGACAAAGGGGAATTCTCAAACCGGTACAACCTTTCACGTATATTTCATCCGCGGGAAATCGTCAAACGGCACCCATGTAAACGTAGCCTATACAAGCGCTACTATTACCATTTTATGGATATTTCATCCGCGGGAATCGACACCGATGTATATGTGCATTTTTTGGGACTTTCGCCCTTGACACACAGGCTAACTTAATTTGGTGATACACACCTCTTTCCCACTTTCACCCATTTTTTTCAAAATCAAATACATTTGCAATGCATTAAATGAGCAACAATGTTCATGGATGAGAAATTAGTTTCAATTCACCTAATCCTTATGCAATTTCTACAACAATCATAGCTATCCTCCACTAATAGTCCAAAATAGATATAAAATCTCCAATACAGATAAACTTTCCAAAATTCAAGATGTGAGTGATAATACATATCCAACTCCACCATCCATACCAATATACATCTAATTTCACATTTCCAACATCCATTCCATTTATTTATAGAAAATAAATATTTGAGACGTTTAGGACAAAATTCCTTTTCTTCCAAAATGTATTCCAAGTATCAAAATCAACAATTTTATCACAACTCAACCTTATTTCTACTCACACAACCATTTTCAATGACTCCATTTGAAAACCTCTCTTTTGATTTTAAACCAAAGGCCTAGGTTTGCTCAAAATTTCTCCAAAATCACAAGATTGTTTTATAAAAACAAATAGCGAAGTTCAAAATCATAAATGAGTGTAGAAAATCCCTACCTCGAAGTTAGAAGACCAAGGAGAGAGTGGAGAAACCTCAAGGAAGCCGAAATCTAACTCTATTCGGATGAAAACGAAGCTCTGGGTGAGCTCTACCTTTTTAACAATGGGAGTGGAGTGGAGAACTGGGTAGATCTTGGTGTATTTGTAGAGAAAGAGTAAGTTCTAGAGAGAGATGCACTAGATTTAGGGTTTTGAAATGTTTTAGAGAGATGAAAAAGTGATGTAAAAAGTGAATTTTATGGACTGATATACGCACAGTCCGCTCGAGCATCTAGACACAAAAATAATTACCGCTTGAGCTCAAGAAGTGAAGCTCGATTGTAGAATACACACTCCCAGTAGTTTTACAAACAAAAAGCCAACGCTCGATCGCAGTAAAGGTCGTTTCAGCCAAGACCGCTTGAGCGCAAAAAGTTTCGCTCGAGCATAGAATATCACTTCCCTGTAGTCTTGCAGACCTGCAAAAGTACTGTGAGTTCACAAAGCCCGCTCGAGCGTAAGAAGTGATGCTTGAGCAAAGGAGCAAAATTCTGTATAACAAAAGTTTGAAAACCAAGCTACCAACATGTTTCAAACGCAGCCAATACAACTCAATAGCCAAACTCAAGGAGGTATAAGGAAAATAAGACATGAACAATAATACAAAACAATGAAACCTGAATCCAGAGCATCAAATGGGTCGGGACTTAAACCAGAATCGCTATAGTCTAACATAATAAAGATATGGGTTTGAAAGATATCAAGGTTTCTATTGGTGAGAATTTGGTTCATGTGGTTCGGTTCAATATGCTCCCACGACTGCAAAATCTAGAAACATTCAGGATAGACAATTGTCCAAAGATGGAAGCAATAGTCGCGGAGAAAGAAAAAGAAAAAGGAACCACCAGTAATGATATCATTGCGTTCCCTCAATTAACAACTCTTAATCTTTCGGAGTTGGCGAGCCTTAAAAGTTTTTACACGTGGCCTACAAGATCGGAAGCACAACCATTGTTCAACCACCAGGTTTGATTTTCCTAATTTATTTTCTCAACCCCAGCAATGGGAAAGCGTGCCCAAAAAAAAAATAAAATTAAAATTCCTTTTCAATTACAATTTTAAATTTGAAACTTATTTGAATATTCTCTTTCTATCCAAATCCAAATAAAAGTAAAATAATTTGAAGGTGGACATGCTAGGGGCCTACGATGGAAATTACAATATTACCCAAACAAAAATATGTATGAATTCTAAATTTAACACTATATTTTTATTTTGAATATGAATCTTAATATGATTTTATTTGGCTAAAATTATGTCCAAAATTGTAATTTGCCAGAAGTCAATTACTCCCCTATCGAAAAGACATGTCTTGCCTTGGTGTTCGCCTTGCAAAAACTAAAGCACTATGTCTTGGAACACGAAGTTAAGTTGATATCAAGAGCAGACCCCTTGAAATATATACTTTCACGGCCCATACTTTCAGGGAAAATTGCAAAGTGGGCTGTAATTCTCCAACAATTCGCAGCCCAAGTCGTTTGGTCATTCAAGGATTTAATCAGAATGAGCAACGCCTAATGGGGAAAATTGAATTACAAACCAAGTTTGGGGATATTGAAGAAAGCACTGAGTTCTTGGTCAAAAATGTAGACACCTCTTACAAAACTTTGCTTGGGAGACCATGGATGCATAATCATCATGC